GCAGCAAAATTGGTAGATGTAAAGAAAAACTATTGTCTAAACATTTTGGGGATGATAAAATGAAGAATTAAAATTTTATCGAACGGTTCCCAGTGCTGATGGTGGAGATATTTCTGCAGAAAATGAAGATCAATTACTGTGCAGTAATTTTGAACAAGGTATTGATCTCCAAATTTAGCTATTTTATTTTTTTCATAATTTCAAGTGAATGAAGTGTTCCTATTCATCTACTTTTATAATGTAGTTTTTGTTTTTATTTTTATTTTTACTTTAAGTAACTTTAAAAATTTTTATTAACGAATTTATTAAAAAACTTTATTAAAAAACTTTAAATTAAAAGAAATTTTTATTAAAAAAAGAAAAACTTTAAAGAAATTTTTATTAAAAAACTTTAAATATTTTATTAACGAATTGTTGAAACCCGTTATAAAATCTTTGTGTATCTGAACCTCTGGAATCGGAATTTTTAGTCACATTTGCTAAAGACATTTTCTTTTATTTTTTTACTTTTAATAGTGACATTTACGCATAAGATTACCAGCACATTTAGAACATTTAGCACCTCTTTGGAAAAATCTTTGTGTGTCTGAACCTCGGGAGTCCGATTTTTTAGTCACATGTGCTGAAGACATTTTCTTTTATTTTTTTGCTTTTAATAGAGATATTTACGCATTTGAATCCCCCTTGGATATGTAGGCACTTGATATCCTGAGGTTCACATGGATGAACGTTTCTGACTATTACTTTGACTGGCTTCGCCAATTTATATTCATAAGTATGCTATTCCAATTTGATTTTTATGATTAATTAATTCTGATTAAAAAGTACAGCAAAGTAGCTTTTATTGTTAAGACAGTATTTTCTCTATGTTCCACAGTATTATTACATATAGAATCATTATCTGGGCACCTGCATCGAAACATCACTTGGAAAAAATAAGAGGATTGCAAAACAAAGCTGTTATAAATATATGTGAATTACCGTTAAGATCATCATATAGCCAACTATATAAGAAGCTAAATCTGATACGTGTCAATCGTCAATTAAAACTGCTACAACATGGAAAATGTAGGATTATACTACACAATATATTACAAAAACATATTTTAGCAAACACTTACTTCAGACAAAGAACCCAGATCCATAGTTATGCTATAAATTACGGAGCAAAACAGTAAAATATATATTGCTACCGTATCAGAATATAATATGTTAACGTTCCTACGTGGATGAAAACGATAAGAAATAAATGATTTAAATTTCATTTCAAATCGTATAACGAACTCATCTTGACTAGCAACTGAAATAATATTACCAAATATTTTCAAATAAATAAGTAAAATCAAAATTTACCCTGAGTCACTAAATCTTAATTTAAATTTTGCAATTTATTAATCACTTGAATCATTTTTTAAATGTTTAAACAAAAAACATAACATTCAAAATTTTTTTTGGTTTTTTTCTTCTTATTATTTAATTATTATTTATACTTTTTATAAAATTTTTCTACGTTTGTAAATGTTTATATTTTAATATAAATTTATTGTTTATATTATTTCATTTTAAAAATTTATTTTTATGTAGTTGATCGTTGTTTAACATGTTTAGATTCACGTCAATACTTTCCTCTTTGAAGATCTTTATTAGCTGCCCGCAATTAATTATATTACTCACTATTACCGACGGAGGTTTATGTTCTTTAAGTTCAACATTTTTCCCTGGTGTAGATTTCCCTACTTTAGTGCTATTAATTTCTAGTGCCGATTCAATTTCTGATGAACTTTTCTTTTCTTTGAGTTTCTTTTTGTTTTAAGAATCCAATCGGTCTCTTTAGCCAACTCCCAGTGCCATTTGGTCCCTCCCGGTGCCATTTCCAAACTGTATTCTGCTGTCCCAATAACCTTAATTGTTTATATATAAAGGTCAAGCAATATTTTTTAAAACTAATTTATTTAATGACACTTAATCCAAATCACACTTAAAACTAGACTAAATATAGATTTTTCTTTTTTTAAAAGAAGGAAATTAAAAATAAGCCAAGGAAATTGAATATAAATCAAAGAACTAGTTAATACTTCACTATCGATTTTTGAACACGATCTCGTTTTTAAGCTTTTTTTTTTCATTAAAATAACATTTATCAAATCGTAACGGTACCATATTATTGAAAAATATACGTTTTCATTAATTGTAACGTTTTTTTTTTGACATATAAAAATAGGTCAACTGATTAGGAAGGATGGGAATAGCGGCAGTTTTCAATCACTGCTATTTTTTTTCTGAAAATTTTTTATGGAGAAATGTCACCTAAAGGAATTTTTACTGAAAGAAAAATTATAAATTTTGATAATTTTTCATTTATTTTCTTTAAGGTTTTGTAAAAAGTAAAAGAAAGAAAAGTGAGATTGGTTTTAGATCCTACTTTTTCGTCCGAATGGAATGGCTACACTTTTCAAGTTTCTTTGCTATATTCAAGTTTTCTTCAAAATTAAGGAAAAGTTTTTTGAATCATGTACATATGTCCGAAAAGTTACAAAAAAGAACAGTTTCCTGTTATGTTTTCAAAGAAGAAGCAGAAAGTCATAGCCCTGCTCGTATCAGTGATTGCTTTTTAGCACTTTTCCAAACAATTTTTGAAAAAAAGTGCTTATTAGTTTCACTCTGTCCGTGCGTCTGTCCGTGTGTCTGTTTACAAAACTTCTTGAAAATAGAAAGCTCAAATTTTATATGTACAGAAACTTATATTATATATTTAAATTTTATATGTACAGAATTTATGTATTACCAGAAACTTATTTCCAAAGAACAAAATTTTCACTTATATCTCTCCCTCTAAAAGTTATGCCACCCTAAAACCGTAAAAATTGTATATTTTAACCACTTATTGCAGTGAAACCATAAGTATTTCTCAAATTTTATAGAAACTGAAAAATAGTGGCTGGCTTCCCCTGTTGCGGCGTACCATTTATGAACTTTAAAAATACAAAATGGCCGTTAAAATTTACCGTTATCTAAAACCCGTTTTTCCCAATTTTTTGTTACCATTTTTCTTCTACAACGTACGTCATAGGAGTCTGAAATTTTAAGAGCTCATTAGATATTCATAAATAGTTTATTTCGTTAGAAGAAAATTTTTTCTCATCTCCACCCCCTCTCAAGTTAACAGCTCTCGAAATTTGTAATATTTAAATATTGGGCATCCTTTATTTCCGAAACCACAAGCTTTTTCAAATTTTTATAAACGCTTAAAGCTTACGGTAAATTCCATGCTATTAAAAAGCATAATTATTTTTCGTTCATGCTAAATATATGCAATCCTAGAAATAGTTTCGTATATAAATGAAAATGATTTTTGTAGTGTGGTAGGTATACACAGACTTTATTTAAAAGTAGTATTTCTACTTGTTGAAGGGAAAAGTGCTACAATACAAACCATTGCTTTGACCCAACTTTATTTAAATCACTGTGAAAAAATCACAGATCATCTTGCTGATTAGTGGAGTTTAAATTGTAATTGCCAAAAGTGTGTATTAACTTTGTGCCATCCCTTCTGTTTCAATTGCTTTATCACTATCTGCATTTGACAAGTCGAATATTTTTTCATCCATATCGAAAACAGTCTCTAGAACAAGTCCCAAGGCAATTGAATCTGGGTTAACGTACCTACGTGTTAAGATGTAAAGAGCAAATGTGATTTCCTCATGGTTGGATTCTTTTTTGAAAAGTCTCACATGAGAATATTATTACAGTCACAACAAAATACGATAATGTTTAAAGGTACTAGTGTACTACAATTAGGTAAACACAATTCGTTATTATTATATAGTAGCGCAATGCGGAAAACTTTCAATAATTTCAGGCAAATTTTTTATGCCTTAGTATATCCTCCCTTTAACTATAATTTGTTAAATGAATCAAATTTGTGCGTAAAAAGTCATAAAAATTCAGTACATTAAAAAATAAAGCGGCGGAATCTGCAATACATATTGCATTATATAAGTAAATATCTGATCATTGGTGCAATGTGTGACAGCGGTCCTTCAATAAAAGGGTCTTGGGTTCAAACCCCGGTAAGATCACTATGAAAGTTATTCCAATCTTATTATAACTTAATACACAACGTTTATAAATGTAGTATATAACTAAAGTAATTTTCATATATTCATGATATATGACATTAAAAAAAACTAAGAAAAATAAACAGAAAATATTAATAATTTTAAATATTTAATATATGTAAAAATAAAAGTAAAGCAGGCTAGTCATCTACCTAGTTAAAACTTTATAACGTAATGATACTAGGGCATGAATCTGTGGTACCATGCACCAGCCTTATGCTCCTCTTAGGAGTAAATAAAAAACGAGAAAAAATAGAGTTGACTTTGTCAACTCTGTGATACCCGTACGAATTTGTTATCCTGTGTGCGAATAAATATGCAGTAACTGACTATAGGATAGACTATGACTTCAAGTTTCCGTATTATCATGTTAATTTATGCAAAATTTCAGTACTGTGTTTTTAAAAATACTGTGGGTGCCAAATTACTTTTGAAGTTGTATAGCAGATACCAGAACGAGCCAAGTAATTTCAACGACTTTTATGAGACATATTGGCCCTACTAATATATTCGTTTTTGTGAAATTTCAATACCTCAGCTTTTATAGCCAAATAAATTTTGAAGTTGTATGGCAGCTGCCCGAACCACTACCCCGATCATGTCCAATTTAAGTAGGGATCTGGCACTTACTACAATAAATCATTTGCAAAAATTTGGTGAATTTAGCCAATTAGTTTTTGAGTTATCGTTGGGACGGACGGACTTACGGACTGGTAAACAAAGCTAAATCAACTCAGAATTTGACGCTTAGAAGACCGTTACTTCTTAGCGTTATTTCCCTTGGAACATACGTTCGTATGGATATAAAAACAAGGAGAAAAAAAAATTCCGTAATTATTTACATTATCTACACATATAGACATATTTAATTTTTCATTACAGCTTTTTATGATCGACAACTGTGCTGATGATTGGCGGATTGCGATGACATGGCAAAGGATATGTCAAATTAGTTTGGAATTATTGATATGTGCTGTGCATCCTATTCCAGGACAATATTACTTCATTTGGACTACAAAATTAGCAAACAAAAATAAAGCAATAGGTATTCAGAAAGTTCCATATGACGTTGCACTTTCATTGCCTATGTTCCTCCGTTTATATTTAATATGTCGAGTGATGTTATTACATTCAAAATTGTTTACGGACGCTTCATCACGAAGTATAGGAGCCTTAAACAGAATAAATTTTAACACAAGGTAAGAAATTTTATATAAGCCTTAACGTAATATTCAAAATAAAATTTAAAATACCTGTTTTGTATATTTTTATATAAAAAGTGTTTCAATATGTTTATTGGTATTCTCTTTACTTTTGTTATGAAATCTTTTCAACACAGAAAAATACATATGTAAATGAAATATAATAGAAAAGTTTTTGTAGGAAAATTCAATGTCCAAAGCTATATATAGCGGTCCTTTGATTACGTCATCCTTCTGTTCTGCAATTGTATGAAGAGATTTCCTGTGAGTTAATATAAATGTAATTCTGCTATTTTTTCTGCTATTCCAAAGTATTTCAATCAGGTCAACTTCGATATAATTCGTATGTTTTTCCTTAACGTATTTTCTATTGAAATTATTTTTTATAATCACTATATATCAGGCGACCAAGCTCAGAGAGCAAATCAAAACTAAATTTAAAATTTATGTGTGGTTAAATGAAAGGGGTGTCGGAAATTATTTGTGTAAAGGAGATTGATCAATAGTTTTAGCTCTACTTATTTTACATTTTTTTTTAATTTAAAATTTAAATTTAAAAAAAATCAGCAATTTTTTTTTAAATCTATTTGAAAAATACATTTAAAAAAAATTGGAATTTCTACCGCAGATAACTTTTCTTGTCTTCCAATGGTACTGAATTATAGAGTAAAGCTTTTGAATAAAAAATTGAATTTGAAAAGAAATTGAAAAAAAAAACAAACAAATAATTATCATAACTTAGGTGGCTTTGAAAACCATACTAAATAGAGTGAGAGTCACAAACAATACTCTAAAATTTCACAAAAAAATTGAAAAATATTTCAATCGGCTTACTTCGAAAACATAAAACATTAAAAACTGTTTTCGTATTGTTGTTCGATTCAAAATTTTGTAAAATAATTTCAGCTAAGTCGCCTGATAGATATTTAACGTATGGCATTATATATGGCACTGCACTGGTAAGTATAAGGCCACCATGTAGAGAGAGCAAATCTCATTTTCCTTTTACGGTTTTTAAAAATATGTATACAGTATCAGGGAAATGGGGAGAAAAATTATCAGCGTCCTTTTATGTTTTATGTCATTTACATCTAAAAATATCCAAAAATATTTTTATATGAATAAATTTTGGAGTCTTATTTTGATGTTTGCAAAAAAATATTGCCAAAAAAAGAAAGTTGGCATTGAAAATAAATTTTTTTAAAAATATGTTTTTTATTGTTTATAGCAAATCAAGCGATACAGACGTTCCCCATTGCTAA